ACACCAGACCGGGTCAGCTTTACACACTCATTAACACTGTACACACCAGACCGGGTCAGCTTTACACACTCATTAACACTGTACACACCAGACCGGGTCAGCTTTACACACTCATTAACACTGTACACACCAGACCAGGTCAGCTTTACACACTCATTAACACTGTACACACCAGACCGGGTCAGCTTTACACACTCATTAACACTGTACACACCAGACCGGGTCAGCTTTACACACTCATTATCACTGTACACACCAGACCGGGTCAGCTTTACACACTCATTAACACTGTACACACCAGACCGGGTCAGCTTTACACACTCATTAACACTGTACACACCAGACCGGGTCAGCTTTACACACTCATTAACACTGTACACACCAGACCGGGTCAGCTTTACACACTCATTAACACTGTACACACCAGACCGGGTCAGCTTTACACACTCATTAACACTGCACACACCAGACCAGGTCATCTTTACACACTCATTAACACTGTACACACCAGACCGGGTCAGCTTTACACACTCATTAACACTGTACACACCAGACCAGGTCAGCTTTACACACTCATTAACACTGTACACACCAGACCAGGTCAGCTTTACACACTCATTAACACTGTACACACCAGACCAGGTCAGCTTTACACACTCATTAACACTGTACACACCAGACCGGGTCAGCTTTATACACTCATTAACACTGTACACACCAGACCAGGTCAGCTTTACACACTCATTAACACTGTACACACCAGACCAGGTCATCTTTACACACTCATTAACACTGTACACACCAGACCGGGTCAGCTTTACACACTCATTAACACTGTACACACCAGACCGGGTCAGCTTTACACACTCATTAACACTGTACACACCAGACCGGGTCAGCTTTACACACTCATTAACACTGTACACACCAGACCAGGTCAGCTTTACACACTCATTAACACTGTACACACCAGACCGGGTCAGCTTTACACACTCATTAACACTGTACACACCAGACCGGGTCAGCTTTACACACTCATTATCACTGTACACACCAGACCGGGTCAGCTTTACACACTCATTAACACTGTACACACCAGACCGGGTCAGCTTTACACACTCATTAACACTGTACACACCAGACCGGGTCAGCTTTACACACTCATTAACACTGTACACACCAGACCGGGTCAGCTTTACACACTCATTAACACTGTACACACCAGACCAGGTCAGCTTTACACACTCATTAACACTGTACACACCAGACCGGGTCAGCTTTACACACTCATTAACACTGTACACACCAGACCGGGTCAGCTTTACACACTCATTAACACTGTACACACCAGACCAGGTCAGCTTTACACACTCATTAACACTGTACACACCAGACCAGGTCAGCTTTACACACTCATTAACACTGTACACTCCAGACCAGGTCAGCTTTACACACTCATTAACACTGTACACACCAGACCAGGTCAGCTTTACACACTCATTAACACTGTACACACCAGACCAGGTCAGCTTTACACACTCATTAACACTGTACACACCAGACCAGGTCAGCTTTACACACTCATTAACACTGCACACACCAGACCAGGTCAGCTTTACACACTCATTAACACTGTACACACCAGACCAGGTCAGCTTTACACACTCATTAACACTGCACACACCAGACCAGGTCAGCTTTACACACTCATTAACACTGCACACACCAGACCAGGTCAGCTTTACACACTCATTAACACTGTACACACCAGACTAGGTCAGCTTTACACACTCATTAACACTGTACACACCAGACCAGGTCAGCTTTACACACTCATTAACACTGTACACACCAGACCAGGTCAGCTTTACACACTCATTAACACTGTACACACCAGACCAGGTCAGCTTTACACACTCATTAACACTGTACACACCAGACCGGGTCAGCTTTACACACACATTAACACTGTACACACCAGACCGGGTCAGCTTTACACACTCATTAACACTGTACACACCAGACCAGGTCAGCTTTACACACTCATTAACACTGTACACACCAGACCGGGTCAGCTTTACACACTCATTAACACTGTACACACCAGACCGGGTCAGCTTTACACACTCATTAACACTGTACACACCAGACCAGGTCAGCTTTACACACTCATTAACACTGCACACACCAGACCAGGTCAGCTTTACACACTCATTAACACTGTACACACCAGACCAGGTCAGCTTTACACACTCATTAACACTGTACACACCAGACCAGGTCAGCTTTACACACTCATTAACACTGCACACACCAGACCAGGTCAGCTTTACACACTCATTAACACTGTACACACCAGACCAGGTCAGCTTTACACACTCATTAACACTGTACACACCAGACCGGGTCAGCTTTACACACTCATTAACACTGTACACACCAGACCGGGTCAGCTTTACACACTCATTAACACTGTACACACCAGACCGGGTCAGCTTTACACACACATTAACACTGTACACACCAGACCGGGTCAGCTTTACACACTCATTAACACTACACACACCAGACCAGGTCAGCTTTACACACTCATTAACACTACACACACCAGACCAGGTCAGCTTTACACACTCATTAACACTGTACACACCAGACCAGGTCAGCTTTACACACTCATTAACACTGCACACACCAGACCAGGTCAGCTTTACACACTCATTAACACTGCACACACCAGACCAGGTCAGCTTTACACACTCATTAACACTGCACACACCAGACCAGGTCAGCTTTACACACTCATTAACACTGCACACACCAGACCAGGTCAGCTTTACACACTCATTAACACTGTACACACCAGACCAGGTCAGCTTTACACACTCATTAACACTGTACACACCAGACTAGGTCAGCTTTACACACTCATTAACACTGTACACACCAGACCAGGTCAGCTTTACACACTCATTAACACTGTACACACCAGACCAGGTCAGCTTTACACACTCATTAACACTGTACACACCAGACCAGGTCAGCTTTACACACTCATTAACACTGTACACACCAGACCGGGTCAGCTTTACACACACATTAACACTGTACACACCAGACCGGGTCAGCTTTACACACTCATTAACACTGTACACACCAGACCAGGTCAGCTTTACACACTCATTAACACTGTACACACCAGACCAGGTCAGCTTTACACACTCATTAACACTGTACACACCAGACCAGGTCAGCTTTACACACTCATTAACACTGAACAAACCAGACCGGGTCAGCTTTACACACTCACTAACACTGTACACGCCAGACCGGGTCAGCTTTACACACTCATTAACACTGTACACACCAGACCAGGTCAGCTTTACACACTCATTAACACTGTACACACCAGACCAGGTCAGCTTTACACACTCATTAACACTGTACACACCAGACCAGGTCAGCTTTACACACTCATTAACACTGTACACACCAGACCAGGTCAGCTTTACACACTCATTAACACTGCATTCATTACTATACTGGAGTTTTTAAATGTTTCAGCTTGTGTTGGGAGAATCGAAGCGTTTCAAGCCTTTTTTCAGGGCCTACTATTGACAGGCTAAATCAACACTTAACAAGCAGCAAATGTGAATAAAAATTGGCGAGTAGATGAAACTTGGATAGACTTTTTTTTTTTTAAATGAATTAATGTGTGGGTTGACTCAATGTATTCAGTGACTGTTGATCGTGTTTCAGGGAGTGGGAAGAAGGAAAAGTATTAATATTTGACGACTCGTTCGAGCATGAAGTCTGGCAGGAGGCAGAAAGATTCAGACTCATCTTCATCGTGGACGTTTGGCACCCCGAGCTCAGCCAATCACAGAGGCAGACTCTCTCACCCATATAGAGGATAACAGCCAATCACAGAGCTCGAAGAGCAGGTCAACAGCCAATCACAGAGGCAGACTCTCTCACCCATAGAAGATAACAGCCAATCACAGAGCTCGAAGAGCAGGTCAACAGCCAATCACCGAGGCAGACTGACTCACCCATAGAAGATAACAGCCAATCACAGAGCTCGAAGAGCAGGTCAACAGCCAATCACAGAGGCAGACTCTCTCACCCATAGAAGATAACAGCCAATCACAGAGCTCGAAGAGCAGGTCAACAGCCAATCACAGAGGCAGACTCTCTCACCCATAGAAGATAACAGCCAATCACAGAGCTCGAAGAGCAGGTCAACAGCCAATCAGAGCTCTCTCTGCAGTTTTCATAAACCACAGACTTCCAAGGCAATGTGAATGTATAAGTTCAATGAATCATATTGTTTTGAGTTGTGCGTAATATGAGAACATAATCACCTAATATTCAAGATCTTAATTTTGTAAAGCAAATATGATTTGAAATCATGTTTCAGAAGGATGTGTTTTTTAGGGCTCAACAGTAATATTAGACAGATTTATAGATTATGTTAGACTGAAGGGTTAATGTTCATACAGTTATGGGAGAATTAAGAGATCAGAATATGAGAAAGTTGCATTGAGACTTAAGTCACTTTTTAATAAAGTTATAGATCTGATTGAGCATTGCACTGTATGTTGTGGGTTATAGTGTGTGTATGTGTGTGCATATGAATACATAAATGATCAGGTGTGTTCATTAGAGATAGAAACATCATCACTTCGCGCCTTCTTCCAACCGATGAACGCCAAGAACGAGTCAACAGAAGTGAATATGACTGTATTTCGCATAATGCATTTTTTATTTGTTATTTTTCTGTAAATGTTTTCATCAGAGCACATGTTTTATTAACACTACAGATTCTACATGAGTTTTTCTATATGTACATGTTTGTTTACATGCCAAATGTTTGTTGTTTGTGTTGATAATTAAATCCTGAAACATCTGAAAAAAACATAATTCAGTGTGATTGATCATCTTCACATCACAGTTGGAGAATGTGCAGTTCCAATTAGTAAATTAAATACAATAATAATAATAATAATGAAGTTAGAGGTTTCCTAATGAAAGAAGTAGATCTGCTGGAAGGCCGTGCGAGCGCCGGTGTACTCCGGCTTATAGTTGTAGATCAGGGCGTTCTCCTCTTCCTCCTCGCTGGGGAACCGGTGCGCACTCTTCCTCGCTGTAGAAGAGAGAGGAGTGTGTGTTACACTGTGTGTTCATGCATCTGTCAATGAGGAGATTTGTGGGCTTTTCATAAAGAGTTTTTTCAGACGAGTGGACAGAAACTGTATATTATAGTTCACTTTATCTACAGTGTATCTCTTTAAAGACTGTTTTCCGAAAGTGAGTTTTTCCTCCGACATCGAGCTGGAAATCTCCACTTCAGCAACACACACACACACACACACACACACACACACACACAACTCTACAGTTTTACAGTATCTATATTCTGAAGGATTTTACACAGGGGTTTGTGTTCATATGTAACTTTCCTGATTTTATACAACATTTAATTCCTAAAAATAAGGTGCAAATGTATTTATTTTTGGCTGTTTTATCAGTATTTTCTGATAAAAAGAGATATCCAAAATCCTCTCTGTAAAAACTTTGACTATATATATATATAAAAAAGAAACAAGAATTTTGAACCTGTCTTTATCCAATGTTCAGGTTTTTGTTCTAGAAATGTATAGAAATTAGTGCATATTTAATTAGATAATGCCTCATTTGCATATTCAAACATTACATTTCAGAAAACTTGTAATACAAAAAAATGTGAAGTACAGTATGGTGATATCGATAAGTAAAAAAAAAATTGTGAATTTATTTTATTTTTGGCTGTATTTTCTGATTTATGGAGCGATAAAAATATCCAAGATCCCCTCTGTAAAAACTTTGACTAATATATATATAAAAAAAGAAACAATAATTTTAAACCTGGCTTCATCCAATGTTCAGAACTTTATTCTAGAAACATTTATGCAAATTAGTGCATATTTAATTAGACAACGCCTCATTTGCATATTCAAACATAACATTTCAGAAAACTTGTAATACAAAAATTGTGAAGTACAGTATGGTGATATCTATAAGTAAAAAAAAAAAGTGAATTTTTATTTAATTTTTGGCTGTATTTTCTGATTTATGGAGCGATAAAAATATCCAGAATCCCCTCTGTAAAAACTTTAACTATTTATATATATAAAAAAGAAACAATTTTAAACCTGGCTTCTTCCAATGTTCATAACTTTATTCTAAAAACATTTATGCAAATGAGTGCATATTTAATTAGACAACGCCTCATTTGCATAATCAAACATAACATTTCAGAAAACTTGTAATACAAAAAAATGTTTGCAATAATTACTGTAATCATGTGGTGAAGTGTGGAGATATGGAGTTATATCTGTGCCATATTCACCAGCGGCGTCTCGCTTTATACAAATCAAACGGCAGATCAATATAATAAACGGCTATTAAAACGCAGGATTATGATCATACCTTCGCTGATGTAGAAGTGTGCGGTGTGGAAGCCGGAGTTATGGATTATGATCATACCTTCGCTGATGAAGAAGTGTGCGGTGTGGAAGCTGGAGTTATGGATTATGATCATACCTTCGCTGATGAAGAAGTGTGCGGTGTGGAAGCCGGAGTTATGGATTATGATCATACCTTCGCTGATGAAGAAGTGTGCGGTGTGGAAGCCGGAGTTATGGATTATGATCATACCTTCGCTGATGTAGAAGTGTGCGGTGTGGAAGCCGGAGTTATGGATTATGATCATACCTTCGCTGATGAAGAAGTGTGCGGTGTGGAAGCCGGAGTTATGGATTATGATCATACCTTCGCTGATGTAGAAGTGTGCGGTGTGGAAGCCGGAGTTATGGATTATGATCATACCTTCGCTGATGAAGAAGTGTGCGGTGTGGAAGCCGGAGTTATGGATAATGATCATACCTTCGCTGATGAAGAAGTGTGCGGTGTGGAAGCCGGAGTTATGGATTATGATCATACCTTCGCTGATGAAGAAGTGTGCGGTGTGGAAGCCGGAGTTATGGATTATGATCATACCTTCGCTGATGAAGAAGTGTGCGGTGTGGAAGCTGGAGTTATGGATTATGATCATACCTTCGCTGATGAAGAAGTGTGCGGTGTGGAAGCTGGAGTTATGGATTATGATCATACCTTCGCTGATGAAGAAGTGTGCGGTGTGGAAGCTGGAGTTATGGATTATGATCATACCTTCGCTGATGAAGAAGTGTGCGGTGTGGAAGCTGGAGTTATGGATTATGATCATACCTTCGCTGATGAAGAAGTGTGCGGTGTGGAAGCCGGAGTTATGGATTATGATCATACCTTCGCTGATGAAGAAGTGTGCGGTGTGGAAGCCGGAGTTATGGATTATGATCATACCTTCGCTGATGTAGAAGTGTGCGGTGTGGAAGCCGGAGTTATGGATTATGATCATACCTTCGCTGATGTAGAAGTGTGCGGTGTGGAAGCCGGAGTTATGGATTATGATCATACCTTCGCTGATGAAGAAGTGTGCGGTGTGGAAGCCGGAGTTATGGATTATGATCATACCTTCGCTGATGTAGAAGTGTGCGGTGTGGAAGCCGGAGTTATGGATTATGATCATACCTTCGCTGATGAAGAAGTGTGCGGTGTGGAAGCTGGAGTTATGGATTATGATCATACCTTCGCTGATGTAGAAGTGTGCGGTGTGGAAGCCGGAGTTATGGATTATGATCATACCTTCGCTGATGTAGAAGTGTGCGGTGTGGAAGCCGGAGTTATGGATTATGATCATACCTTCGCTGATGAAGAAGTGTGCGGTGTGGAAGCTGGAGTTATGGATTATGATCATACCTTCGCTGATGTAGAAGTGTGCGGTGTGGAAGCCGGAGTTATGGATTATGATCATACCTTCGCTGATGAAGAAGTGTGCGGTGTGGAAGCTGGAGTTATGGATTATGATCATACCTTCGCTGATGAAGAAGTGTGCGGTGTGGAAGCCGGAGTTATGGATTATGATCATACCTTCGCTGATGAAGAAGTGTGCGGTGTGGAAGCTGGAGTTATGGATTATGATCATACCTTCGCTGATGAAGAAGTGTGCGGTGTGGAAGCCGGAGTTATGGATTATGATCATACCTTCGCTGATGAAGAAGTGTGCGGTGTGGAAGCCGGAGTTATGGATTATGATCATACCTTCGCTGATGAAGAAGTGTGCGGTGTGGAAGCCGGAGTTATGGATTATGATCATACCTTCGCTGATGAAGAAGTGTGCGGTGTGGAAGCCGGAGTTATGGATTATGATCATACCTTCGCTGATGAAGAAGTGTGCGGTGTGGAAGCCGGAGTTATGGATTATGATCATACCTTCGCTGATGAAGAAGTGTGCGGTGTGGAAGCCGGAGTTATGGATTATGATCATACCTTCGCTGATGTAGAAGTGTGCGGTGTGGAAGCCGGAGTTATGGATTATGATCATACCTTCGCTGATGTAGAAGTGTGCGGTGTGGAAGCCGGAGTTATGGATTATGATCATACCTTCGCTGATGTAGAAGTGTGCGGTGTGGAAGCTGGAGTTATGGATTATGATCATACCTTCGCTGATGAAGAAGTGTGCGGTGTGGAAGCCGGAGTTATGGATTATGATCATACCTTCGCTGATGAAGAAGTGTGCGGTGTGGAAGCCGGAGTTATGGATTATGATCATACCTTCGCTGATGTAGAAGTGTGCGGTGTGGAAGCCGGAGTTATGGATTATGATCATACCTTCGCTGATGAAGAAGTGTGCGGTGTGGAAGCCGGAGTTATGGATTATGATCATACCTTCGCTGATGAAGAAGTGTGCGGTGTGGAAGCCGGAGTTATGGATTATGATCATACCTTCGCTGATGAAGAAGTGTGCGGTGTGGAAGCCGGAGTTATGGATTATGATCATACCTTCGCTGATGTAGAAGTGTGCGGTGTGGAAGCCGGAGTTATGGATTATGATCATACCTTCGCTGATGAAGAAGTGTGCGGTGTGGAAGCCGGAGTTATGGATTATGATCATACCTTCGCTGATGAAGAAGTGTGCGGTGTGGAAGCCGGAGTTATGGATTATGATCATACCTTCGCTGATGTAGAAGTGTGCGGTGTGGAAGCCGGAGTTATGGATTATGATCATACCTTCGCTGATGTAGAAGTGTGCGGTGTGGAAGCCGGAGTTATGGATTATGATCATACCTTCGCTGATGAAGAAGTGTGCGGTGTGGAAGCCGGAGTTATGGATTATGATCATACCTTCGCTGATGAAGAAGTGTGCGGTGTGGAAGCCGGAGTTATGGATTATGATCATACCTTCGCTGATGTAGAAGTGTGCGGTGTGGAAGCTGGAGTTATGGATTATGATCATACCTTCGCTGATGTAGAAGTGTGCGGTGTGGAAGCCGGAGTTATGGATTATGATCATACCTTCGCTGATGAAGAAGTGTGCGGTGTGGAAGCCGGAGTTATGGATTATGATCATACCTTCGCTGATGTAGAAGTGTGCGGTGTGGAAGCTGGAGTTATGGATTATGATCATACCTTCGCTGATGTAGAAGTGTGCGGTGTGGAAGCCGGAGTTATGGATTATGATCATACCTTCGCTGATGAAGAAGTGTGCGGTGTGGAAGCCGGAGTTATGGATTATGATCATACCTTCGCTGATGAAGAAGTGTGCGGTGTGGAAGCCGGAGTTATGGATTATGATCATACCTTCGCTGATGAAGAAGTGTGCGGTGTGGAAGCCGGAGTTATGGATTATGATCATACCTTCGCTGATGAAGAAGTGTGCGGTGTGGAAGCTGGAGTTATGGATTATGATCATACCTTCGCTGATGTAGAAGTGTGCGGTGTGGAAGCCGGAGTTATGGATTATGATCATACCTTCGCTGATGAAGAAGTGTGCGGTGTGGAAGCCGGAGTTATGGATTATGATCATACCTTCGCTGATGAAGAAGTGTGCGGTGTGGAAGCTGGAGTTATGGATTATGATCATACCTTCGCTGATGAAGAAGTGTGCGGTGTGGAAGCTGGAGTTATGGATTATGATCATACCTTCGCTGATGAAGAAGTGTGCGGTGTGGAAGCTGGAGTTATGGATTATGATCATACCTTCGCTGATGTAGAAGTGTGCGGTGTGGAAGCCGGAGTTATGGATTATGATCATACCTTCGCTGATGAAGAAGTGTGCGGTGTGGAAGCCGGAGTTATGGATTATGATCATACCTTCGCTGATGAAGAAGTGTGCGGTGTGGAAGCCGGAGTTATGGATTATGATCATACCTTCGCTGATGAAGAAGTGTGCGGTGTGGAAGCCGGAGTTATGGATTATGATCATACCTTCGCTGATGAAGAAGTGTGCGGTGTGGAAGCCGGAGTTATGGATTATGATCATACCTTCGCTGATGTAGAAGTGTGCGGTGTGGAAGCTGGAGTTATGGATTATGATCATACCTTCGCTGATGAAGAAGTGTGCGGTGTGGAAGCCGGAGTTATGGATTATGATCATACCTTCGCTGATGAAGAAGTGTGCGGTGTGGAAGCCGGAGTTATGGATTATGATCATACCTTCGCTGATGAAGAAGTGTGCGGTGTGGAAGCCGGAGTTATGGATTATGATCATACCTTCGCTGATGAAGAAGTGTGCGGTGTGGAAGCTGGAGTTATGGATTATGATCATACCTTCGCTGATGAAGAAGTGTGCGGTGTGGAAGCCGGAGTTATGGATTATGATCATACCTTCGCTGATGAAGAAGTGTGCGGTGTGGAAGCCGGAGTTATGGATTATGATCATACCTTCGCTGATGAAGAAGTGTGCGGTGTGGAAGCCGGAGTTATGGATTATGATCATACCTTCGCTGATGAAGAAGTGTGCGGTGTGGAAGCTGGAGTTATGGATTATGATCATACCTTCGCTGATGAAGAAGTGTGCGGTGTGGAAGCTGGAGTTATGGATTATGATCATACCTTCGCTGATGAAGAAGTGTGCGGTGTGGAAGCTGGAGTTATGGATTATGATCATACCTTCGCTGATGTAGAAGTGTGCGGTGTGGAAGCCGGAGTTATGGATTATGATCATACCTTCGCTGATGAAGAAGTGTGCGGTGTGGAAGCCGGAGTTATGGATTATGATCATACCTTCGCTGATGAAGAAGTGTGCGGTGTGGAAGCCGGAGTTATGGATTATGATCATACCTTCGCTGATGTAGAAGTGTGCGGTGTGGAAGCCGGAGTTATGGATTATGATCATACCTTCGCTGATGAAGAAGTGTGCGGTGTGGAAGCCGGAGTTATGGATTATGATCATACCTTCGCTGATGTAGAAGTGTGCGGTGTGGAAGCTGGAGTTATGGATTATGATCATACCTTCGCTGATGAAGAAGTGTGCGGTGTGGAAGCCGGAGTTATGGATTATGATCATACCTTCGCTGATGTAGAAGTGTGCGGTGTGGAAGCCGGAGTTATGGATTATGATCATACCTTCGCTGATGAAGAAGTGTGCGGTGTGGAAGCCGGAGTTATGGATTATGATCATACCTTCGCTGATGAAGAAGTGTGCGGTGTGGAAGCTGGAGTTATGGATTATGATCATACCTTCGCTGATGAAGAAGTGTGCGGTGTGGAAGCCGGAGTTATGGATTATGATCATACCTTCGCTGATGTAGAAGTGTGCGGTGTGGAAGCCGGAGTTATGGATTATGATCATACCTTCGCTGATGAAGAAGTGTGCGGTGTGGAAGCCGGAGTTATGGATTATGATCATACCTTCGCTGATGAAGAAGTGTGCGGTGTGGAAGCTGGAGTTATGGATTATGATCATACCTTCGCTGATGTAGAAGTGTGCGGTGTGGAAGCCGGAGTTATGGATTATGATCATACCTTCGCTGATGAAGAAGTGTGCGGTGTGGAAGCCGGAGTTATGGATTATGATCATACCTTCGCTGATGTAGAAGTGTGCGGTGTGGAAGCTGGAGTTATGGATTATGATCATACCTTCGCTGATGTAGAAGTGTGCGGTGTGGAAGCCGGAGTTATGGATTATGATCATACCTTCGCTGATGAAGAAGTGTGCGGTGTGGAAGCCGGAGTTATGGATTATGATCATACCTTCGCTGATGAAGAAGTGTGCGGTGTGGAAGCCGGAGTTATGGATTATGATCATACCTTCGCTGATGTAGAAGTGTGCGGTGTGGAAGCCGGAGTTATGGATTATGATCATACCTTCGCTGATGAAGAAGTGTGCGGTGTGGAAGCTGGAGTTATGGATTATGATCATACCTTCGCTGATGTAGAAGTGTGCGGTGTGGAAGCCGGAGTTATGGATTATGATCATACCTTCGCTGATGAAGAAGTGTGCGGTGTGGAAGCTGGAGTTATGGATTATGATCATACCTTCGCTGATGTAGAAGTGTGCGGTGTGGAAGCCGGAGTTATGGATTATGATCATACCTTCGCTGATGTAGAAGTGTGCGGTGTGGAAGCCGGAGTTATGGATTATGATCATACCTTCGCTGATGAAGAAGTGTGCGGTGTGGAAGCTGGAGTTATGGATTATGATCATACCTTCGCTGATGAAGAAGTGTGCGGTGTGGAAGCCGGAGTTATGGATTATGATCATACCTTCGCTGATGAAGAAGTGTGCGGTGTGGAAGCTGGAGTTATGGATTATGATCATACCTTCGCTGATGTAGAAGTGTGCGGTGTGGAAGCCGGAGTTATGGATTATGATCATACCTTCGCTGATGAAGAAGTGTGCGGTGTGGAAGCCGGAGTTATGGATTATGATCATACCTTCGCTGATGAAGAAGTGTGCGGTGTGGAAGCCGGAGTTATGGATTATGATCATACCTTCGCTGATGAAGAAGTGTGCGGTGTGGAAGCCGGAGTTATGGATTATGATCATACCTTCGCTGATGTAGAAGTGTGCGGTGTGGAAGCTGGAGTTATGGATTATGATCATACCTTCGCTGATGTAGAAGTGTGCGGTGTGGAAGCCGGAGTTATGGATTATGATCATACCTTCGCTGATGAAGAAGTGTGCGGTGTGGAAGCCGGAGTTATGGATTATGATCATACCTTCGCTGATGAAGAAGTGTGCGGTGTGGAAGCCGGAGTTATGGATTATGATCATACCTTCGCTGATGTAGAAGTGTGCGGTGTGGAAGCCGGAGTTATGGATTATGATCATACCTTCGCTGATGTAGAAGTGTGCGGTGTGGAAGCCGGAGTTATGGATTATGATCATACCTTCGCTGATGTAGAAGTGTGCGGTGTGGAAGCCGGAGTTATGGATTATGATCATACCTTCGCTGATGAAGAAGTGTGCGGTGTGGAAGCCGGAGTTATGGATTATGATCATACCTTCGCTGATGAAGAAGTGTGCGGTGTGGAAGCCGGAGTTATGGATTATGATCATACCTTCGCTGATGAAGAAGTGTGCGGTGTGGAAGCCGGAGTTATGGATTATGATCATACCTTCGCTGATGAAGAAGTGTGCGGTGTGGAAGCTGGAGTTATGGATTATGATCATACCTTCGCTGATGTAGAAGTGTGCGGTGTGGAAGCTGGAGTTATGGATTATGATCATACCTTCGCTGATGTAGAAGTGTGCGGTGTGGAAGCTGGAGTTATGGATTATGATCATACCTTCGCTGATGTAGAAGTGTGCGGTGTGGAAGCTGGAGTTATGGATTATGATCATACCTTCGCTGATGAAGAAGTGTGCGGTGTGGAAGCTGGAGTTATGGATTATGATCATACCTTCGCTGATGTAGAAGTGTGCGGTGTGGAAGCTGGAGTTATGGATTATGATCATACCTTCGCTGATGTAGAAGTGTGCGGTGTGGAAGCTGGAGTTATGGATTATGATCATACCTTCGCTGATGTAGAAGTGTGCGGTGTGGAAGCTGGAGTTATGGATTATGATCATACCTTCGCTGATGAAGAAGTGTGCGGTGTGGAAGCTGGAGTTATGGATTATGATCATACCTTCGCTGATGTAGAAGTGTGCGGTGTGGAAGCTGGAGTTATGGATTATGATCATACCTTCGCTGATGAAGAAGTGTGCGGTGTGGAAGCTGGAGTTATGGATTATGATCATACCTTCGCTGATGAAGAAGTGTGCGGTGTGGAAGCTGGAGTTATGGATTATGATCATACCTTCGCTGATGAAGAAGTGTGCGGTGTGGAAGCCGGAGTTATGGATTATGATCATACCTTCGCTGATGAAGAAGTGTGCGGTGTGGAAGCTGGAGTTATGGATTATGATCATACCTTCGCTGATGAAGAAGTGTGCGGTGTGGAAGCTGGAGTTATGGATTATGATCATACCTTCGCTGATGAAGAAGTGTGCGGTGTGGAAGCCGGAGTTATGGATTATGATCATACCTTCGCTGATGTAGAAGTGTGCGGTGTGGAAGCCGGAGTTATGGATTATGATCATACCTTCACTGATGAAGAAGTGTGCGGTGTGGAAGCCGGAGTTATGGATTATGATCATACCTTCGCTGATGAAGAAGTGTGCGGTGTGGAAGCCGGAGTTATGGATTATGATCATACCTTCGCTGATGAAGAAGTGTGCGGTGTGGAAGCCGGAGTTATGGATTATGATCATACCTTCGCTGATGAAGAAGTGTGCGGTGTGGAAGCCGGTCTCGACGGCTCGGGGCGAGTGGGGAATATACGGGCGATTCCACTCGAACGCGTTCTTCTCTGGATGCCATTGAGTCGCGTAGATGGGGAAATCATACGCTGGGAGCAGAGGAGAAAGGTTATAAAAAGAATAATATATAAATATATATATATATATGATTATTATGGTCACTCACCTTCCACTGTGGACACAAACTCGTTCTGTCCGTCGGAGTTTGTGCTCAAAACCCTGTAGAAGCTCTTCAGTTTCTCACTCTTCGTAAAGTTCTGAAATAAACATTCGGAAATTTTTCATTCAGCAAAAATAAACAAAATATTTTGAATTGAACATGTATTCATTACGTGAGATATGTCTGTAAAAATGTCTTTGTTTTAACTCTTTCCCGCCATTGACTGTCTTTCAGCGATCTTCCAGCGATTCATGTTATCACTGTTGTACAGTAGAGGGCGCTGGCATCAACAATTCAATCTGGTGCTCTTCGGTCATTTTTGACCGAAAAATTTAACAATTTATTTTTTTCTTCATCGGAATGATACAAATTTGCTAAAGGTTTTGGGACTTGCTCTGTGAACACACAAATAAATCATGCACATGATTCGAACAGGTTAAATGGTCTGTAAACACTAGCCACACTTGTGCTCCTCGCGCTCAGGAATGACGCATTGGAAATGAATGAGAGTTTCCTCTAGTGGAAGCGTGTGGAACTGTAGCCGGACACACTCTCACTGAGCGCTCGTTTACTGAGATATCAGACTCACATGCGGAACACACTGGTTTAGATTTATGGCTTTGATTTTCTCAGTTTTAGAGTAAAACATGTTTTTGAAAATATATATTTCATATAAAAATTGTAATTAGTATTTTTGCATTTTTCATAATACTTTTCACAATATTTTTTGTATATTTTTTGTATATGTATACTTATGTCGGTTTCTTGTAGTGTGGTTTTTCATTTTTCTTTGTCTTTGTTCCATTTAGTTTTTTCACTATGTGGAGTTAGTGTTGATCACCTAAAAACTACAACTCCCACTATTGGACTACAACTGGTCATACCTGGCCTCTGCAGGTGTGGGTTATTATTGTTGATTGTCCTGATGTGTTTTGAACACAGTTAAATGGAATGTGACATTTAGTTTTTGTATGCCCTGAGGATGGTCTTGTGACCGAAAGCTTGGCGATTAAAATTGCTTTAAAGGATTCAAGTGTGCAGACAGTTTATTTATTTTCTGATTTATTTTCTTATTTATTTTCATAACCATAAACGTAAAAATCTGTAACTTTTTTTACGTTCACTTTTTTTCACTTCAGCAATAATCTGCCGAGTGTCGTCTCTAAGAAGAGATCAAACTTCAGTCTGTGATCTAAAGCATTCAAGATTTACCAGTTTAAGTTGGAAATAAAATGTTCAGGTCTATGCTCAAAAGGGGAATAAATGGATTATAAATACAGGGAAGATATAATTTAGTGCCATAAAATCCCCTAAAAATACTAAATATTAAATAAAAAACATTATCGAACTAAAATATAGTACTATAGTAATGTTTTAGTTATGACTGCGGTTCTGTTACTGTCCAACAGGCAGAGGGCAAAACTCATTACAGAGATATAATTATAATTATACAACATACAAAAAGTAGTCGAAACACATCTCTGCCCTACAAACACAAAAGGCAGTATCTTCATTTTTGGCCAAATATTAGTTATTGATATTTTTGGGTTAAAGGGAAATGATGTTTGAGATGGCTTTAAAAATGAAGGGCAAGGTAAGATATTGTGAAACACAAAATATGCCCTAGACAAACAGATTAGATAGATCGCAATCTACTCCATTTAGCTAGATAACATTTAATCTTCAGTTTATAAACTTAAAGGTGCAGTGTGTAAGTTTAGCAGCATCTAGTGGTGAGGTTGTGAATTGCACCCAACAGAAGTTACGGTGGCCGACAGGAAGTGATGTCGTTGTCTGAGACAGCAGAGAGTAGCCAGTTAAACACTGAGGTTTCTTTACAAAGATAAATAAAGAAATTATGTTTACTTAATTATTCAGTAAAACGATGTTATTGCGAATATTATTGTTACTTGTTCATCATTGTGTCAGTGTTTTATTCGCTAGATCTTTACACGAAGAACAACATAGTGATGAAACGCGTGTGTCCGTTCAGGGCCACCGTAGAAACATGTCGATGTGTGTGTGTAGAGAGAAACACCTCATTCTAAGCTAATAAACACATAACACTTCATTAGTAAGGTCTTTATACACCACTGAACACATAGTTATGTATATGATATTGCATTGGGTCCTGAATATCACACACTGCAGGTTTAATCAGAGCTGAAGGAAGGTCAGTAATGCTGGTTACCGCAGTCGTGAGACTCCACTGATGCGAGTTCTCCGTGAGCCGCTCGGTCGCCAGAGATTTCAGAAGCTCCTCGGGAAACTCTCTGAACAGTCGGCTGTCTTGAGCATCTACATCAGTGGAGGGAACCAGGACATCAACACTTCATAAGCTCACAACAAACAATATTCATCACTTCTCTGAGTAGTTTAAACTAGCCGCACTGCAGAGGCGCGTACCGTGGTAATGACTTCACTGTACGTCACTGAGTAACAAGCAATAATCCTGGAAGTGAACTGATAATGAACATTTACCATTATGTAACTATAGTGTGTCCTAACCAGACGCGATGTGCGAGATGCGTCAATCAATCAAAACCCACAGCCAATCAGAGCAGCGTGTGGGCGGAGCCTCGCGGCACCAGAGAGTCGTCCTGACGGCACTCGCGAAATCCACAAATATTACACCATTTAAACATTATTCAAACACATAGGCTACTGAGTTCCTAAAACAATCTTGGTCAAAGAATACACTTGTTTGTTCACAGTTTGAACGTTCTTCTTTCTATTTGTTTAATTTCAAGATCTGAGGTCAATTATCCACTGTTGCTTTTACAGCTGCAAAGCTGGAGCACTAAATGATATTCAAAGTCACATGACACGCTTTAACATTAAATACAGCAGCACATAAACAGCACCTGAGATTAGCATCGCCACACTTTGTGTTTGTTGTTCCAGCGCGACGTCGCAGAAAAATAGAAACCGTTTCTAAAATAGAGTCGTCGCGTGTCGCGGCTGGTTAGCACAAACACTCTGATCAAGATGGAAAAGTCCCTTTTATCGTGTAGTTGGGACACGGTGTTAATCCAGTGTTGTTCTTACCGTCAGTGAAGTTCAGTGGCAGAGCGACTCCACTGGTGTTTGTGTGGGACAGGAGCAACTGGCCACTGGTGAGCAGTGTGAGCATCTCGAACCCTAGACAGGTTCCCCATACTGGGAAATAATCCCCGTTTGAATTGGCCTGTTAACACACAGAGATACAGCAGGGATGCTCCGATATGAACATTTTACGATAACCGATAATTCTTATAGTTTGAAAGCCGACAACCGATAATTCTTATATTTGAAAGCCGATACCCGATATATTGGCCGATACCGATTATTCTTTATATTTAAAAGCTGATAACCGATAATTCTAATATTTTGAAAGCCGATAACCGATAATTCTTATATTTGAAAGCCGTTAACCGATATATTGGCCAATACCGATAATTATTTATATTTGAAAGCTGATACCCGATAATTCTAATATTTTGAAAGCCGATAACCGATAATTCTAATATTTTGAAAGCCGATAACCGATAATTCTTATATTTGAAAGCCGATAACCGATTTATTGGTCGATACCGATTATTCTTTGTATTTGAAAGCTGATAACGATAATTCTAATATTTTGAAAGCCGATAACCGATAATTCTTATGTTTGAAAGCCGATAACCGATAATTCTTATATTTGAAAGCCGATAACCGATTTATTGGCCGATACCGATTATTCTTTATATTTGAAAGCTGATAACCGATAATTCTAATATTTTGAAAGCCGATAACCGATAATTCTTATATTTGAAAGCCGATAACCGATAATTCTTATATTTGAAAGCCGATAACCGATATATTGGCCGATACCGATAATTATTTATGTTTGAAAGCTGATAACTCTAATATTTTGAAAGCCAATAACCGATAATTCTTATATTTTGAAAGCCGATAACCGATAATTCTTATATTTGAAAGCCGATAACCGATAATTCTTATATTTTGAAAGCCGATAACCGATAATTCTTATATTTGAAAGCCGATAACCGATTTATTGGCCGATACCGATAATTCTTTATATTTGAAAGCCGATAACCGATAATTCTTTTATTTTGAAAGCTGATAACCGATAGTTCTTATATTTGAAAGCCGATAACCGATATATTGGCCGATAAATCTAAATCCAGATTTTTTTTATAATTTCTGAGAGCTTGATTACAAAAACAAAAGTCTCATCATTAAAATCCATGTCTCAAGCACACAATTATGATGTTCTTATTATAGTTTTATGTAGCCGAAATGACAGAATATTAGCCGAATATTTTCCTTTTTTGAAGTTATTCCAATCATATTTCAAGCAACTCAAAACCCTCATGTTGAACAGTGCGCATCTGAAGCGTCTCAGCTAAAGGAAATAATACATTATTTATCGGCTTTAATATATCGGCCAATTTTTTTTTTTTTATAAATATAAAATGTATTGCCGATATATTGTGCATCGCTAGATACTGCAATAAAAAATTAAAATACCACAACATTTTTGTATTGCATACAGAGAGCAAAACTGACACAAACCTCGAGAGCGAGTCTGTAGAAAATGGAGGCAGTTTTGGAATATCCGGATGACTCTAAACTGACTCCGCCTCCTGGGAACAGAACTCTACAGAGAGAGGCAATATACTTCATTTTTTATTTATTGTGATTTATTTTTGTATAATATGGAAATGTTTTTTTTCCCTTTATTTATCTATATGTTTGTATATATTTATTGCTTTGGCAATATTGTGCTATTTCATGCCAATATAGCTCATTTAAATTAAATTGAATTGAGAGACAGGGCTCGTACAGATACTGTAAAAAAAATTCCAGGACTTTCAAGCACTACTTTTTTGGTTTTCAAGGACTGCAATCAGAGATCGCACTTATAAAACAATATCTTTAGGATTTTTTAAACTCAAATTACAGATATAAGGTATCCAAAATACAACTTACAATGTATGTAATAATATTAAATACAACGTTTATAATGGCTATTATTGTTCAATAAATAATATTTTATATTATAATGTTGGCGTACTTGGTATCGAAAAAACGTCTGATGGGGGTTTATCAGTGTTAATATTTATATCAAGCACTTTTTGTAAATATGGCTGTTTTCAAGGGTTTTCCAGGACTTAAATTTCAAAAACTCAAACTCAAGTACTTTAAGCACCTTGTACGAACCCTGGAAAGAGAGTCACCAATTCCTTACCGTAATCACGTCTTTAACACACATTCTATATTTACTCACCCATTGATGGATTTAAACAGCCGTCTGTACTCATCTTCAGTCCTATTGATCCTGCAGAACATTGAAATACACTACATTAAATTGCTTTAGTGTCGATTCAGTAACTGTACAACAATAAAGTTACCATTTGTGCAGTTTACACACAAAATGCAAATGAAACAACATTATTAATATCCAGCAAACGATCTGAACAACACTGGCTGCGTCCCAAATCACATACTTTCTTGAGTAGTCATTTAAAAAGCCTATGTTTTATGAAATATATTATGAATTACGTTTAGATGTACTACATTCGTTATGTTGTCATAATCATGTGACTTCTCTGTCATTTATAAATGTTCATGGGATAGTAAAGTGTCCATCATACACACACTTCTTATTGTTTTTCTCCTACTATAACACTACAATTAAAAAAATTAACAAAATTGAAAATTAAACAGATAATAAAGTAATCAATCAATCAATAAATAAATCAAAAACCCACATCAGCGGAATGACGCGCGCGCCCGCGGACTCCAGGAACTTGACGTACGACGCCGCGATGTACGCGTTTCTCTGAGGCGTCGCGTCGAACACGTCCTGCGCGAGAACACCTGGACACAACAGGTTTAAAGTTTAAGTTGGTGTTTTAAAACTCTCTCAGGCACAGTATTTAATACAACTGTTCAACTCACCGATTATTGGTCTATCGTTCGTGTTTATTGGTGCTGCGAAACGGTCCAAAAACACGGAATCCGCAAATGCGAAAAGACACGCGAGGTAGAAGAAGCGGATCATGTTTTATATTTACATTAGAAATGTTGCCCTCACACGTGACACGTTTCCGCGTTCATGACGTCATGTGTGTTTTTATAACGGTCATCGTAAAACAGACGGTTAAAATAGCTTTTACACTATTTATATGATGATTCTTTTTCTGGTTGTATTATTTCTTTCTCTTTACTTGTATATCTATTTTATATATTGCACTGTATATTTTATTTTCCTATTTGTTGTAGTCTATATTTGTTCAATATTATTATACTATAATAAATAAATAAATAAATAAATAAAACATACGGTTGAATAAAGATTCATTTAAAAAATGAATAATAATATCATGGGAAATATCATGAATATTAATATAGGCGCCACCCAGTGGATAATAAAAAGAAATAAATATATTTTTCAATATGTACTTTATGATCAGAAAAACTAAAGCGGTAAGAAGATCGCCGGGGTTTTCCGTGACAATCTCTGAAATCACCGTAAACAAAGGGTTAACGGGACTTATTTATTTTTATAAAAAGTTTTCATGAATTAATAAATCACACAGGCAGAGGTGGTCACGTGAGTGTTTTACAGCGGCTTAACCAATCATGATCAAGGAGCGGAATTATTATTATTTTTAAACAGAAAATCTATTTTAGATCCTTTACTGTATGAAGTTATGAACGGTTGAACACAGATTTTTTAAAATAATAATAATTAAAAAAAAAACATCGTTGATTGTTATTGTTAATTCTCCACGGCAGCGTGACAGAGATATGTCCATCGATCACGTGGTTCTTCCTCTGTTTCCGAGCATTTCCGTGTTTACATTCCCGGATCCCTCATGGCTTTCATCACGAAGAAGGATCGCGCTAAAGAAAGGTACTGTCACTCTTCACCTGACGTGTTTATTCCCGCAGCCTGCTTTCCCTCAGGTCCGCGCAGTGGAACTCTCTGACTTCTGGCCTGTCGTGTCACTCGAGCTCGCGGGTCATTCGCCTCATAAACAGGCCAGCAAACGGACGAAACACGCAGCACTTATGATCCTAGCATAGTTATGCGTTTCTTGAAGTGAATACTTCATTTGGACATTTATTAACACTTTCCTAGAGAGAGAGAGGTGTCCAGTTTATTTGTTTACTTGTAGCAGTAAAGTTAAGAATCGCTTTGTGTTTAGATGTTAGCTGAGTAGAAAACATCTTTGTTTTAACCTTAATTTAGTGGTAAACTCAATTTTCTGAGAGAAAAGCAGTTTTGAAAAATATGAATGTCAACTGTTGAAGTCTGTCGATGTCACATGACCTCTGTCTCAGTAATTATTCATTTGTTTACTTTTCGTCAGGTGCCTATAACTGCTTTCATTAAAGTCACCATGAAATCAAAATGGACCCTTTTTTTGATGTTGCAGTGTTTATTATTAAATAATTTATAGTGCTCATCACTATTTAAAACAAGGTGTTAAGAGATTCATTGTGGAACTCGTAATTACAGCTTGTAAACTGGGAATTTTCTGAATCATAACATTAAAAACATTGATTTGAAGCATAAACATTTTGAAAATCGGACAAAAATGCAAAAGCACAAGACTGTAAACTTAACGGCTTTAGTGAGGGAAAGAACTACAATCCCATGAAGCATTGCGAACAGCGTAACATGGAGAAATAAAAAAAAGTTGGTTATATATATATATATAGCCTATATAAACAATATATTGTAAGTTTATTGTAAAAACGTGCATATATATTCACATATTCAAGTATTTAGAGAGCGCAAGGCTCTTTGATTGGTGGGACTTTCTCTACAGCATTATGGGTAATGTAGTTCTTCATAATGAAATCCTCCATTAATCACAATTATTTAAAAAAATAAGTTGAAATAATGAGGCCTGACGGCTTCAACAGGAGCAATGTATATGTTATCGTTAAAAATCAGTTTCCCTATGGTGTTTTTATCAGAAAAGAAAGACTGTGTATTGTACTGTCTGTGTAATTAATATTCATTTAATTTGCAAGGTTCCCAACATCTTTGTTTCCTCTCTTGTCAATCACTTGTGATTTTCTCATGTTTCTGTGCAGATTCTCGCTGTTGTTGCTGGATTTGGAGGAACATTATTTTGAACAGCACACTGCTTATAATCTGAGCAACAGCAGTCCAGAGGCGAACAGGTGAGAGCACTGACTGAGAACCCAACTCGATCGTTTATAAGTGAAATATGACACTGAAAGAGTCTCCAAAAGAGTCAGTTCCTTGATAGCACTTGTTGTGTCAGACTGTAAAACAGGAATCGACTTGTTGACTTGTCTCTTGATTGATTTTTGATTGATTTACTGTTCTCCAGGATTCAAATGTCCTGGCGATTTGGGACTTCACTCGTTTCATTACTGGGTGAATCAGCGTTTTTTGAACAAATCTCTTGAATGAATGATTCAATGACTCACTCATAAAGACTTCACTCGTTTCATTACTGGATGAATCAGCGTTTCTGAATGAATCTCTTGAATGAATGATTCAATGACTCACTCATAAAGACTTCACTCGTTTCATTACTGGATGAATCAGCGTTTTTGAACGAATCTCTTGAATGAATTATTCAATGACTCACTCATAAAGACTTCACTCGTTTCATTACTGGGTGAATCAGCGTTTTTGAACGAATCTCTTGAATGAATTATTTAATGACTCACTCATAAAGACTTCACTCGTTTCATTACTGGGTGAATCAGCGTTTTTGAACGAATCTCTTGAATGAATGATTCAATGACTCACTCATAAAGACTTCACTCGTTTCATTACTGGATGAATCAGCGTTTTTGAACGAATCTCTTGAATGAATGATTCAATGACTCACTCATAAAGACTTCACTCGTTTCATTACTGGATGAATCAGCGTTTTTGAACGAATCTCTTGAATGAATGATTCAATGACTCACTCATAAAGACTTCACTCGTTTCATTACTGGATGAATCAGCGTATTTGAACGAATCTCTTGAATGAATGATTCAATGACTCACTCATAAAGACTTCACTCGTTTCATTACTGGGTGAATCAGCGTTTTTGAACGAATCTCTTGAATGAATGATTCAATGACTCACTCATAAAGACTTCACTCGTTTCATTACTGGGTGAATCATTGTTTCTGAATGAATCTCTTGAGTGAATGATTTAATGACTCACTCATAAAGACTTCACTCGTTTCATTACTGGATGAATCAGCGTTTCTGAATGAATCTCTTGAGTGAATGATTTAATGACTCACTCATAAAGACTTCACTCGTTTCATTACTGGATGAATCAGCGTTTCTGAATGAATCTCTTGAGTGAATGATTTAATGACTCACTCATAAAGACTTCACTCGTTTCATTACTGGGTGAATCAGCGTTTTTGAACGAATCTCTTGAATGAATGATTCAATGACTCACTCATAAAGACTTCACTCGTTTCATTACTGGGTGAATCAGCGTTTTTGAACGAATCTCTTGAATGAATGATATAATGACTCACTCATAAAGACTTCACTCGTTTCATTACTGGGTGAATCAGCGTTTTTGAACGAATCTCTTTAATGAATGATTCAATGACTCACTCATAAAGACTTCACTCGTTTCATTACTGGATGAATCAGCGTTTTTGAACGAATCTCTTGAATGAATGATTCAATGACTCAATCATAAAGACTTCACTCGTTTCATTACTGGATGAATCAGCGTTTTTGAACGAATCTCTTGAATGAATGATTCAATGACTCACTCATAAAGACTTCACTCGTTTCATTACTGGGTGAATCAGCGTTTTTGAACAAATCTCTTGAATGAATGATTCAATGACTCACTCATAAAGACTTCACTCGTTTCATTACTGGGTGAATCAGCGTTTTTGAACTAATCTCTTGAATGAATGATTCAATGACTCACTCATAAAGACTTCACTCGTTTCATTACTGGATGAATCAGCGTTTTTTGAACAAATCTCTTGAATGAATGATTCAATGACTCACTCATAAAGACTTCACTCGTTTTATTACTGGAAGAATCAGCGTTTTTGAACGAATCTCTTGAATGAATGATTCAATGACTCACTCATAAAGACTTCACTCGTTTCATTACTGGATGAATCAGCGTTTTTGAACGAATCTCTTGAATGAATGATTCAATGACTCAATCATAAAGACTTCACTCGTTTCATTACTGGATGAATCAGCATTTCTGAATGAATCTCTTGAATGAATGATTCAATGACTCACTCATAAAGACTTCACTCGTTTCATTACTGGATGAATCAGCGTTTTTTGAACAAATCTCTTGAATGAATGATTCAATGACTCACTCATAAAGACTTCACTCGTTTTATTACTGGAAGAATCAGCGTTTTTGAACGAATCTCTTGAATGAATTATTCAATGACTCACTCATAAAGACTTCACTCGTTTCATTACTGGGTGAATCAGCGTTTTTGAACGAATCTCTTGAATGAATTATTTAATGACTCACTCATAAAGACTTCACTCGTTTCATTACTGGGTGAATCAGCGTTTTTGAACGAATCTCTTGAATGAATGATTCAATGACTCACTCATAAAGACTTCACTCGTTTCATTACTGGATGAATCAGCGTTTTTGAACGAATCTCTTGAATGAATGATTCAATGACTCACTCATAAAGACTTCACTCGTTTCATTACTGGGTGAATCAGCGTTTTTGAACGAATCTCTTGAATGAATGATTCAATGACTCACTCATAAAGACTTCACTCGTTTCATTACTGGATGAATCAGCGTATTTGAACGAATCTTATGAATGAATGATTCAATGACTCACTCATAAAGACTTCACTCGTTTCATTACTGGGTGAATCAGCGTTTTTGAACGAATCTCTTGAATGAATGATTCAATGACTCACTCATAAAGACTTCACTCGTTTCATTACTGGGTGAATCATTGTTTCTGAATGAATCTCTTGAGTGAATGATTTAATGACTCACTCATAAAGACTTCACTCGTTTCATTACTGGATGAATCAGCGTTTC